ATAGAACAACATCTGACTTCAATGAAACTTTCTACAACCAGTTCCTCATTACTCAACCAAAATGGGGGGAAACTAACACCAAAAATGGAGGAAAGGGAAAGGGGTGGAGAATAGAGGTTAGGTGAGTAGATTGAGATTGCAAAGATGCTTCGGGTTAAAAAGGTCATCTTAAATCATGCTTATAGTTAAAATTTCAAAATGTTGGTGTTTGCAAACAATGATGGAGTACTTGGACTTCATAGCTGATGAGAAGAAAAAAGTCCATCATTTTCCAAGACATTTTATCTGAAATGTTAGCTGGTCATAGATAATGAGAATAATTGGATCAGACAAAATGAGAGAGCACTGGCTAAAAACCTTCTGTACCTTCCACTTCAGTGGTCGGCAAACTCATTAGTCAACAGAGCCAAATATCAACAGTAAAACGATTGAAAATTCTTTTGAGAGCCAAATTTTTTAAACTTAAACTATATATTGTTATTAACTTAATTAGGGTACTCCTAAGGCTTAGGAAGAGTCACACTCAATGGGTCAAAGAGCCGCATGTGGCTCACGAGCCGCAGTTTGCTGACCACGGCACTAGGTCCATTTGGTGGTCGTGGTGCCTTTAACTCACTTTCTCTTTTTCAGCTCTTGGATTTATGATGGTGGCACATGTTTCAGCTTTTCTCCCAAGAGCCATACATATAATTGTTTAAGATGGTTAATATTTTTCAGCCTTAAAAAAAGAAGGAAATCCTGCCATATGCAAGAAAATGGATCTACCTGAGGACATTATGCTAAGCAAAAAAGGCAGTCATATAAGGACAAATACTACATGATTCCATTTATATTTAACACAGTCAAAATCATACAAACAGAGAGTAGAATGGTATATACCAAGGCAAGGGGGAGAAGAAAATAGGAGTTGTCCAATAGGTATAGAGTTTCAGTTATGCAAGATGAAAAACTTCTGGAGATCTGCTATATAACATATTGCCTATAGTTAACAATACTGTGCTGTACACTTAAAGATTTGTTAAGAGGGTAGATATCATATTAAGTGCTCTTACCACACTACAAATAAAGAAGCTTACTCAGCAAAAATTTTGTGCTTGGTCTTTGTGTTTTCCCATTTTGAAATTACCTCCAATTTTAAAAATGAAAGCCAATATTTTGACCAATTACAATGTGCCAGATACTATGTTTTCATTTCCCATGCACTAGCTCATTGAATTTTCACATGTACAGTATGTTCTATTATGAGAATTTAGTGGGTGTTATAACTGAAGCAGGGACAGGGCAGGTAAAAGATTATACAGCTAGTAATGGGTAGAATCCATAATCTATAAATCTCACACTTAATCACCATGATAAATTGCCTCTTCACAACTCTTGTTTACTTTTATTGTTTGTAAAATGTCTGATCCACATTCTTGGCATTGCCTGACATTTCAATAGGTTGGGAAATTAAAAACCACATTTCATTATAAACTTACTGGCATTAAAGAGTGATTAATTTGGTAGTAATGGCAACCAGTTTTATTGGACAGTTCAAACTTCTCAACTGCACTGAAGGGTCAAGAGAGTAGGGGTGCTGCTGCTTCTAAGAATATTAGCAGTGATGGTAATACTAATTATTGAGTACTGGGCCAGGCATAACCCTAAGAGCCTGATGTTTGTTCTCACAACTGGGGTGACTTTATATATATAATTTTAATCTTTTAAAGTGGGATACTCATGAGAATGAAACAGGGAGCTATTAAAATTATGATGCAATAACAGACAAAGCCAGGACTGTCAGAGCAAACTGAGATGTACTCATGACACAAGACCTAGTAGTACCGATTCCCATTTCAATGTGAAATTATAGGAGGAAAACTCATATAGTTTTATTAAATTAAATTAATTTCAAAGTCAAGGGTGCTTATGTTATAAACTTTTAATTACTATTCCCTCCTCAAGTTTCAGCCTCAAACTATTTAGCAACTGTAAGTAAGAGATATGAATAGGTGTAATGCCAAGCCCTATGTCATTCTGAATGACCTTTAAATAAGGCAAGGGTGGGAAATTATTATGATACTCTTAGAACAGCATATGGTACATAGTGGTCACTCGTTAAATGTATGTTGAATGAATGATTTAATGACTTGAATAATGCTATGATGTAATTATTACACACGTAAAGGAAACTTCCAAGATAATAGATTTCCAAGAAATATCAGACTGCATACCTTAATAGTAAATAACTAAAAACCATTTTCTGGTATTTCCTGTAAAGATTCTTCACTTTAGGAAAAAAAGGTAATTCATATTAAGAGCAGTATTGGATGATCACTACTAGAACATGGTCATTGATAGCAAAATAACTTCTTGGAGCAAATGTCCATTTTTGAACAAGGAGCAGAAAAGTGAAGCTTCAACTTGATTTAATTTTCTCCCTTTTATTCTCCACATTTATAATAATGACTGGCAATATATGGCAAATGTTTATCTACCTGACACAAATGAAAAGAAGGAATCTAAAGTGTTTACTCCTTGGATAGATACTTAGAAGATAATTGGAGGTTAATATAAAATGAACCAGATTTCTGGAAATATAGATACAGTCATTTTTATATTGTAGAAAATAGTCTGGCATATGAATTTCACTATATTTTCACTTTCAGAATATATATTTTATGATTTAGTTTGAAAACAATCCCTGTATTATTACAATAGTGCAAAGGTTATTCTTATATTAAAATTTTACTGCATATATTGTTGTTAAACTATTTTTTCTAGGTAAAGTAGATCAGATTTTTTTATTAAGATGCACTTAACTGAAATTCACTTCCCAGCAAAATTTCTTATTTGTGTTTGTAAAATGTTTTGGTCTTTATATGCATTATTTTATATTGTTTAGGAAATAATAAATTAAAATAGTAATTTACCATTTTCAAATTAATGACAGAATGTGATGTAAAAATTTAAAGTTATTCAACAAAATGAAAATATATTTATTATGACTAATTGAAATGTATAATATCCTATCTGTAAAGTTACTTACCATCAAAAATAGTAGATATAGGTTGGGAAGAGGGGGTAGAGGGGAGGAAAATTGGGGGACATCTATAATACTGTAAAAATAAAATAAAATTTTAAAAGGATTTCACTGCCATACTTACAATTTTAAAAAAGTTGAACAATCACAATAAAAAAGTAGACATATAACTAATTCTGAAACAACATAAATATGCTCTCCTATATTACACAATCACCAAAGTTCTATTTAAGTAAAGAAAGTTTGGGAAAATTACTTGAAAATATAGCATGCAGTTTTCCAAAATGGGCAAAAAGCAAAGCAAAAACTCATATAGTTTTATTAAATGAAAAGAAATCCCAGTTTTTACTTTTATAGGAACAATAGGATGAAATGGAAAACCATGCTTCTCTTTGTTTCTAGCATATTATCTACAAAAAAAATTATGAGCTTCACTAAAAAGTTTTTAAAAAAACTATTTGAAATAGCTTTTGTATTAAATAGAGTACAGTGTGTTCTCAAATATGTCACATAACCTTTTTAGGACTTAGTGCTCTAATCTAGAAGATGTGGGAGTAATGTAGCTTCATTACGATTCTTTCATCTGTATAATCCTATGAGTCTACAAAGTAAATGTTGCATCTTTCCATCTTTTCAATTAAGTACAGCAAATATACAACCTGATTCAAAAATGAAAACTGATGAAACTTTGTGAAGTGTATGATTGTCTGACCACTGTGCTGTACACCTGAAACTAATACAAAATAATATTGAATGTAAACTGTAATAAAAAACATATTTTGGTTGTAAATAATGGTATCTGAAAAATACCTACACATTAATGTGTAAAAAGAATAATGAAGAATGAAGAATAGGGACACATAGTGACAAGGACAGGAAAAGATGAAAAAGGGATTAAATACTGAAGTATCAGAGAAAGAGAGTAGGAGACAATGTGTCACATACACTACCTAGGCAGAAAAATAAACTAACATATATGCATATAGGAAAGTAGATTCATTATAGATATAGTAAGATTCCAATTCATAAGCCAAGACACACATAATAGAGAAAAAGGAAGAGAGTGAAAGTGATGGGGAGAGGCGCGAAGGGAGGGAGAATCACACACACACACACACACACACACACACACACACGTCCAGAGAAAGTACAAATAAAATGAGTGATAAATATTGAAAACAACACATAGTCCGACATGTGTATGAAAATCACAGAGTGAGACTCAGAGGAAAACACAGAGGCTAGCTTTAATAATCTTTCCACTCTGTGGATCTTAAGGGTATTATTGTTAAAGACTATAAAGGTGAAGATACGTATTAGACAAAAATGAGAGTATCACTTCATGACCCTTATCTAGAGTTAGCCATAAATTTAAACCAAGGTCTGCATTCAGCTTTAAGGCAACATTTCCCATCTCGATTATAAAGAGTGGCTACCCAGGCCAAGGCAAGTTAACAGTTTAGCAATGTACCCATTTTAGGGTCCACTACTCCCTTAAATATATTGCTACATTAACCCTAATTGCTGTGTTTCCTTTTATTTTTTTTTTTACTTTAAATCAGTTTATTGACACTGTAACACAACACACTTGCCTCCCTGACACCCCCATCCCCCTCACCCCGACTAGATCTCTCCCCCTCCTCTCCCCTTAGAACAAGCTGTACCTTGAAAACAGAAAAGGGCAGGCCACCTCTACTACCCCAGTCCCACCCCCAGGCCCTGTGGAGTAGGGTCTCAGGCACTATTCAGAACCTATTGGGCGGTGGGGAGGTACAGTTAGCACTACACTCAGCCAGGCAGAGGCATCCAGTCCTTAGGAACAGATTTCCCCCTCAATCCCCAGGCCCCGAGTCGCTATTACTCTTCCTCTCTGCTCTTTGTGACCCTAGGAAGGAGAGATGCTGGGGCCTAGGCCATGCAGCCAGTAGCAACAACTCCTGGCCATGATCTGAGAATTGGAGTTTGGCTAGTCTTTTATAGGGCCCAGGCACCCCAAAGCCCTGGTGGTGGGAGTGAACTTGAATGCCCCTATTCAAAATGCACTGATAACATTTAACAGATTAAGCCAGTTTAACCAAATGCCAGAATAACAAACACTAAGCTGTAAAGAGGGGGTCAGACCTGCTTTCTCCAGGCCGGACACAAATGCACACAGAGAAGCCCAGGTGGAGTGTCAAAAAACAACTCGAGGACACTTTTGCGCATGGGGCTGCAAAGCCTATACTCAGGAGCCCCTGGGGTGACAGGAAGGAAGCAAGGAAAGAAAATACACAAGTCTTAAAAACCAAAAAGAAAGCCCAATAGCTGGGGAGCCTGAGCCTGACAGTGCTACCCACCAACCCTCCAGGTCTTGGCCCAGACCCAGATAGTCCCTCCCCCTCTAGGCAATGTCCTCCCCCTAGGCTAGATAGAGCACATCACACAGCGCAGTTTAGAAAGCTTCTAATGCCAGTTCATAAACATCTTCATTTACTATTGGTGATTACATGTGAATAATATGTTTATACTGTTCTTTATGGAAAACAATTTCAACGAGTCAACTCCAAGAACACAATAGGCAACCCTCATCCTGAGCCCCTCAGCGTCCTTCCCTAGACAGCGAGGAGCCCCCTCCTCTGTCCCAGGGCTGCCTAACTTCCCCTCTTCCCCCACTGTGGCTCTTGGGCAAAGCATCCTCTGACCATTAGTGCTCATTGGGCAAGTTCTGGTCCAGGGGGTAAACCATGAACATCACATCTGGCCGAGAGGGTACACAGGGATGGCCTGGACGAACAATCTCAAAGCCCAAGAAGCTGAAGGTCTTCGGGAGTGGAGCTCTGTCTTCTCGGCCCTTCCTGAAGCAGACAAAGACATAGTTCACTTTCATCTTCTCTTCCGCAAACTCCAGCAGTGCTAACAATCCTTCTTTGCTCCCATCAGCTAATACTCCATCTGGGATTTCTATAAACAGGCTCTGGCTGGACAGGACTGCATCCCAGGAAGAGACCTTCACCTCGGTGACCTCATACTGGAAGTGGACGATGTGAGGTTTTCCATCGTTCACAGGGAGGTCCTGGGTCACAGTGAGCTTCTCGTCCTGGGAAGAGATTAGTCCAGGGACCATGTTACTACTGTTTCTGGCCACATCGTAGGCTCCCCTTACCCAGGTGGTGCTGAGAGGCCCCTATGGTCAATCTCAGAGTAGCATGGGATTGAGGGCACCATGGAAATATAGAGCTAAACAGAGCCATGCTAGCTAAACAGAGCCGGTTAGGGCTCACTTTATGATTTGACATACGAGTAATTTGAGTTACAAGCTCCGTCACGGAACGAATTAAACTCGTAAGTCAAGGCCCCACTGTATATTAGAGCTGAGAGAGAAGGATCCCTGCCACCCCTCGTCCATCGGGGATCTTCGACAGTGAGTGAGGGGCCTCAGGAGCACCACAGAGGCCCTGGAACAATGTGCCTGCAGCACTGGAGCTGGGGACAGTTACTCAAAGGCAAAATACTACTGTGCTGGGTGTTTATCATCCTCGGCGGCTCTGCTCAGGGTGGGAGGAGGCGGCGCAGGGAGTGGGTAGGTGGATGATTGGGTGGGTGGCGGTCGCGCGCGGGGCGATCTCTGGATCTCTGCGGGTTAAGTCCCTGTCAGGCCGAAGGCTCACAGCCCTCCTCCAGCCTCGGCAAGCGCCTGCCTCCAACTCTGTTTTTCCTTTTAGAAATGCAACATAAAGCTACCAAAGTAACTGGTAAATTGGGAAAATATGCATGATCCAGCATATTAGAGTTATCCATAGAGAAAGGCCCCTGCAACTAGAAATTGTGATAGTGGAACATTTTCATAGACACTGTGTGTTAAGGAATTAGCATATTTGTATCTCAGCAACCATTACATACTAATACAATGATAGAATCCACTCTAGCATTTGGATAGAAGAGGGAGCTGGAGAATATAGGGGAGGGGACCCCATTATTTCTTCTCTCACTAATGACTCAGTATTTGAGGATTAATGATGATCAAGACCGTCTCTTGATCGCCTTGACCATCTTTCCTTATTTTTTTTTAAATACTGACTTGAGTACTGATCTAAATCTGGTACTGATCATTTGTTTTCTATTATTAAATTTAAACCAATAGGGATAGGGGGCATAAAGATTGAGAAGAGACAATTAAATAATTCTTAATATGTCTAATGAATAAGATTAAAATTTTTCATCTTAATGAATAAGATGAAACATTCTAAGATGTTTGGTGGCAAAAGCACAGCATTAAAATGATAATTTTAGGATGGAACACAGATATTATGGATGATCTAATTATATGTCTATACAAGATTGTGTTCACAGCTTTCATTTTAATTTTCTGTCATAAAAATTACTTTTAATGCTATTGCAGAACATATAAAACATTGACTTATGTTTCACTATTCACAAAGCTACTATTATGTGTTTTACATAGTTCTCTGACATTTCCTAGAATTATAAGTTTTGTTACTTTTTTAATATTTAAATGTACTGAGGTATGGTGAAGCATTTTGTGGTATCTCTCTTCCTTGTTCTCTTCATATGAGGAATGCATTTATTTGTATTGTTATATGGCTACAAAATTCAATTACTAAGAAAAAAGATTTTCTCCATATGCAAGTGTGTGTATCTTTACATGGCTGTTTTGAAATATTTAAAACAGAAACTTTACATTTTAGGTAGGAAAAAATTTACCTTAAAATGTTTTACTCCAATTATTCACATAACTGAAAGTTAGTGTTCATATATAAAATAGAAAAGGGATTTTTTTCCAAATACCTTGTTGCTTGAATTATAGAGATCTAAACACACATTTTGATTTTAATGTGAAAGAATTGGTACTTTTTCATTTCATAAATATTTGATCAGTCATGTAAATGATCTGTTACAAGAACTTCAGCATCATCGATTTAAAAATATAATAAATAACCTGACACAATCCAAAATAAGGTGTCTATTATTTTCTTTGCAAATCATCTATGTACAGAAACTTTTCTCAATATACCTTCTTCATACCTCTCAATTTTGTTGGATGCTGATGAATAACAAACAATTCTTTAGAGGCAATTGCACCATTTTTCATAAAAGCCATTTCATGTTACATGAAAATTACAGTTCTGCAATATCTTCTTGGTATGACTTTACTACTGCTTTAAAGGATTACAATTTACCTTATATTTTGAACAGAACAGTTAGCAGGTATTAAATATGCCCAATAGGGCAGTAAAATTGTGGTCAAAAGTAGATGAGAAGTTTCAAAATATCCTTGGAGAGTCAAAAGCATATATAGGGAAAGTACCTATGGGGACATGTAAAGTAAGGGAGAAGTAGCCTTAGAGTATAGGGGAAATCTGACCTCAGCTAAGAGGCAGGTTAAAATTGGGGTACTGAAAGTCCATTGATGGAAATTTGTACTTAGCTCAAATTGCCACCCAATGAATGGTCTTCCTTTAGCACTTAACCTATAAGCAAAAACAAAACAAAAAGTGTGTGGTTCTTATCTAAAAAAATGAAATCTAGAAAGAACCTCAGCAGTTAGTGTGGGTACCTTAAAATAAAGCCCACTGCATTATAGAATTTGAAGGTATCTTTCAACAAGAGAGTCAGCTCTTTGTCTTAGCACATAGAGTGAAATATCCCAGTCAACAAGATCCACCCAGGTAGTTAAGGCTCCCCATCTTTCTATTTTCTCATTCTTACATATAAATATATTAAGGATTACTATCTGAATGAACAAAGTATACATCTCTAAAAGAGAAAATGACAAGGGAACAGACAAATTTCTTGGAAGACATCCTATATAATAAAAGCCTAATATGCTAAGTGTCTGATCGTCTGTTCAACCAATCAAAGCATAATATGCTAATGATATGCTAAGGCCACTAAACCCCTTGCTATGACATGCACTGCCCACCAGGAGGCAGACAGTCGACCAGTTGACCAATCACCATGACGTGCACTGACCACCAGGGGGAAAATGCTCCGACCGGTAGGTGAGCTTGCTCTTGGGGTCCGGCTGATTGGGACTGAGCAAGACAGGCTGGCATGCCCTAGAGCCCTCCCATGGTCCCTCCCCGGCTGGCTAACCTCCTGTGTCCCTCCCTGGTCCTGATTGTGCACCAGTGGGGTCCCTCAGCCTGGCCTGCGCCCTCTCACAATCCAGGACCCCTTGGGGGATGTCAGAGATCCAGTTTCAGCATGATCCTGCAGGCCAGGTTGAGGGATCCCACTGGTGCACGAATTCATGCACCAGGTCTGTAGTAACTTATAAAAGCTGAAACACACAAAACATGAAAATTCTAATCATCCCCTGTATCTATTAAGGAAATTAAACCCACTATCAAAAAATTCCCATAAAAGTAACTCCATGGCTAGATGACTTTCCAATTGAATTCTTCAAAACATCTTAGGAAGAGATAATGTCATTTTTCCAAAAAAGAGAAAGAGTACCTCTCAAGTTATTTTATAAGACTTGTCTAACATAGCTGTCAATGCTTAAGAGGATAGTACAAAAAAAATACTAACCGTTTTCTGTCATGAACAAAGATATAAAAATCCTAACCAACATATTAAAAAATTGAATTCAAAAATCTATAAAAAGTACAAGACATAATGACCAATAGGATTTATTCAGTAATTCCTGAATAGTTTCAAATTCCAAAACCAAATAGCTATAACTTACCACATTCATAAAAAGGAGAAAACTAATATAATCATTTTAATAAATGCACAGAAGCATTTGAATATGTTCAATACCTATTCTAATAAAAACTTGATAAACTGGGAATGAGGAGCAATGTCTTAATCCGATTAAGATGATCTACAGAAAGTCATACAACTGATATCACATTTAAAGATAAATTAATGAATGCTTTCCACCTGAGCTAAGAAATGAGCCAATTATCACCACTTCCATTAAACATTATTTTGGAAGTCCTAATGTATACAAAAAAATTAAAATCATAAGGATTGAAAAGGGAGAAACTACCTCTACTGATGACATGATGATGCACATAAAGTAAATCATAAGATTCTATAAACTATTAATACCAATAGGTGAATTTAGCAAGGACACTGGTTATGTGCTTAATATACAAAAATCTGTTATATTTTATATATCAGCAACAAAGAAAAAATAACATTAAAAATGAATCCCATTTATAGAAGAATCACAATGTCAAATGTCTGGGATTCAACCTAATAAAACATGTGCAGGTCCTCTGGACTGAAAACTGCTTAATATTACTGAAAAGATATTATAGAAGACTTAAAAATAATGGAAGGGTGTAATATTAGATGAACCAACATTGTAAATATGTTAACTGATCTACAAATGTAACAAAATTCCAATGAATATCCTGGCAAGTTTTAATAAAAATTGACAACTTGGTTGTAAAATTTATTTGGTAAACCAAACAACCAAAAAGAGCAAAGGCAATCTGGACTAAGAAGAACAAAGTTGGAGGGTTTATATTTTCAGGTCCCAATTTTTAAAATAAAACAATTGTCCCTGGCTGGTGTGTGGTGTGGCTCAGTTGGTTGGGCATTGTCCTGTGCACCAAAAGGTTGTCTGCTTGATTCCAGGTCAGAGTACATCCCAGGTTGCAGGCTCAATCCCTGGTAGGGGGTGTGCAGGAAGCAGCAGATTGATGTTTCACTTTCACATCAATGCCTCTCTCTCTCTCTCTCTCTCTCTCTCTCTCTCTCTCTCTTCTCCCTTCCTCTCTTTCTAAAAAAAAAAAATATTTTAAAACAACAAAATTCTGATACATGGTACAACATGGATGAGCCTTGACAACATTATTTTAAGTGAAATAATCTAGACATGAAGGGACAAATAGCATATATGTGTTCACTAATATGAAATATATGGAATAGGTACATTCATAGAGACAGAAAATAGGTTAGAGACTACTTTGAGAGTTGACTGAATGGGTAGGTGATGGGGGATTCTTGCTTAATGATTACAGAATTTTGGTTTGGGGTGATGAAAAAGTTATGGAAAAAGATGAAGGTGATGTTTGCACATTGTAAATGTAATAAATGACACTGAATTATACACTTAAAATCATTAAAATGATAAATGTTATATATATTTGGCCACAATTTAAAAATAAACCAAACCCATTAAATTGTATACTTTACAGTGAGTGAACTATATGGAATGTGAATTATCCTATATAATAAAAGCCTAGCAACCAAATGGCTGAATGACCAGAAAGACCAGTCGACCAGTCTCTATGATGCGCACTGACCACTAGGGGCAGATGCTCAATGCAGGAACTGCCCCCTGGTGGTCAGTGTGCTCCCACAGTGGGAGCACCACAGGGCTGACCAGGATGAGCGGCTGCTCTCCGCAGCAGGATCAGCCACTCAGAGGGCAGGTTCACAGCCGCTCGGCTGACAGGGATGAGTGGCGCTCCCACAGAGGGCCGATCTCTGAAGGCCATGCCCCCACCAGTGCACAAATCCCGTGCACCAGGCCTCTAGTATCTCAATAAAGCTGTTAAAAAATGATTGTTATTAAGCCAGTGTGGTAGTAATTGAAGGACAGATGTAATGCAAGAGAATTGAGAATCCAGAAGCAGATTCACACATTCATGCTTACCTGACTTAACAAAGTTACTACAGCAGTACCATGGGAAAAGGATTGTCTTTCCATAAATGGTAGTAAGTTAATTGATGTTGCTTTTCATCATACATTCATTCATATTTGCTACTTGGTTTTAAAGAGTAAGTATGTGTTACTTTGATAAACATATTAAATATTTGATTTAAGAAGTATCTGAGGTAGAAAGAAAAAGCCTTACAAGTAAGTAACTAAGTAAATAATTAAATAATCCTATATAATAAAAGGGTAATATGCAAATTGAACAAATGGCAGAACGACTGGTTGCAATGATGCACACTGACCACCTGGGGGCAGATGCTCAATGCAGGAGCTGCCCCCTGGTGGTCAGTGCACTCCCACAGGGGGAGCACCACTCAGCCAGAAGCTGAGCTCACAGTTGGCGAGCACAGTGGTGGTGACAGGAGCCTTTCCCGCCTCCCCAGCAGTGCTAAGGATGTCCAACTACTGGCTTAGGGGAACAGGCCTAAGCCCTCAGTTGGACATCCCCTAAGGCAGCCGTGGGCAAACTACGGCCCGCGGGCCGGATCCGGCCCATTTGAAATGAATAAAACTAAAAAAAAAAAAGACCGTACCCTTTTATGTAATGATGTTTACTTTGAATTTATATTAGTTCACACAAACACTCCATCCATGCTTTTGTTCCAGCCCTCCGGTCCAGTTTAAGAACCCATTGTGGCCCTCGAGTCAAAAAGTTTGCCCACCCCTGCCCTAAGGGCTCCAAGGCTGTGAAAGAGCACAGGTCAGACTGAGGGAACCCGCCCCCCACCCTAAGTGCACGAAGGTCATGCACTGGGGCCTCTAGTAAATAAATAAGCAAACAAAACAAAACACCTTTTGTAAGTTAGCATCCACCTAGCATTGATTAAGTCCATGTTATATGTGAGGGCAAGTAATTTTGATTTATGGAACATGTTGAACTGGACTACCGCCACCTTGTTTAAATACTGTCACTATATTCCTGATCACTGAATTAATTCATTCATCCTTTTTCCAGTCCCATTCTTTAGAATAATTAATGCAAAGTAATGATGTTGTATATTTTGGCATTTAGTCATTAATGTACCATTATCCACCATCACCATTATTCCCATCTAGAACAAATCATGTGGCCAAAATCACTGGTCAGGTTAAAAAACAAAATAATCTACATATAAGCACCCCAGGCATACCCCACCCATAAAACAACCATGAAACCAAACAAATACAAACACTTTCAACATTTAACACATGTGACAGGGGAGATGGTTAATGTCTAACCTTTATCCACTGAAGATTTGTCTGCTTGAGCTTCTTTTCAAGTTTATCTTGCTCTTCTGGGCTTATGGGAGCACTGACAAGCACTGTTCCTCCTGTTTCATTTAATTGTTTTAGAATTCCCTGGCGCAGGGGCAGCTCTTCCACAAGTAACTAAAACAGACAAATGCAACAACTTTAAAAATGAATTACAGCACAATGGCAAC